CCCCAAAACCCCAAAACCCCAAAACCCCAAAACCCCTTCAGATTTTGGACCAATTGAATTATCCTTTCTTAAATTTTGGAATTCTGAGACTATACAAAAGATTTGAGAAGATATATTCAAGGCTGAAATCTCAGTCCAGAGCATTGAATTTCACATAAGCAAGACTTACTTTACAAACGAGCAATTCTTGGTAGTATGCAAGCCATCTCTCTTCTTCTGCCATGACATCTGATCGGCAACACTGTTCTTGTGGCTATGAACTTTCAATAGTTCAAGCTTTTTGTTATCTAAGGCAAGGTAAGATATATACAAACTTCTTCTCTTTAGTCTCTCTTGTACTGGCAAAGTCCTTTCCCACTCCTTATGCTTCTCTTGTTCCTTCTGGAGTTTTTTATAATAAGCATTAAAGGTTTCTAAATTTTCATGAAGAAGTTACCTTTGTTCTGGGATTTTAGTTCTAAATTTTTCCATGTGAGACTTTGTTCCTTATCATCAGCGTAATTGCGTTCAAAGATTCTAAATAGAGCACTATTTTTGGGCACTATGGTATGATAAAGGTACATACAGGTCTTCATTTTCTCAGTTATGCTGATCCCTCCGGTGCCCATTGTTCGTGGCCTTGAACCTTCAGTGTCCCGTTGAGATTCTACAATTACGGAATTAATATTACTAGTCCAAAGACTTTCTTTCGAATTGAGATTTATCCGAGGTATACCACTTTTCAAACTAAAGGGTTAAGTAGAGAGTACTCATGGATACTGCCAAGGGACTCCTCACTGGGGGAACTTTCATCATCTCTCTCCAAGTCAGACACTTCTGAGGACTTTTTACTGATGGGAGTCATAATTTTGGGTATAATTTCAGCACTTTTCTCAAGACTTTTAGGTGCTTCTTCGATCTTAAGGATCTCTTGGATCTTAGGGGCTTCAAATGCCTGAGATTTGATCATATCTGGAGGATGTCGCTTCTTGCAGCCTATACTGGTTAACGAATATTACCTCTGCTGTGTTGACTAGGATCCCAAAGATCATTCACCCGATCTTTTCATCTGATTTTATTTGAGATTTTTACTGATTTGTCTTTTCTTCTGCTGGGTTGTGAAGATCTTCCTAAGGGAATTCTTTACTAATTTTACCTTCTTTCTGGACACTTTTTGGAAGATTTGATGTTGCTCAGGGTCTTGAAAGCTTTGGTTGAGGTGCTAACTTGATACAAGAAGAGTCTTACCTCTGAGAATTAACCTAAAAAGATTAAACAGAAACTAACTTTATTCCTTTTAAGCCCCTTTGGTGCTGACATTTTAGCACTAATACTCCAATTATGGGTTGGTTCTGTGAAATCCATGCGGCCATTTTCAGCCCAATATTCCTTCTTACGTACATGAGAGAGTCTCCGATCGTTCATGCGACTTCGGATGCTTAGCCCAGTTGGAGAAGCCTTCTTCGGATCATGATTAAGAGCCTATAGCTCAAGTAGGAGGATTACAATGATATTGTAATTAAACACAAACTTATTCTGGATAATCTTGGAGGTACTATTCTTCCTATTTTTCCTAAAGGGTTATCAACAGCCAATACAAGAAATTCTTCCTGACTCGCTCCATGAACAACTTTTCTTCCTGGGTGTCATAAGCAAGCTTAATCATCCTCTTCCTTATTTTGGCAGTTGGGAGCATCCCAAGGTTATCGAATTTTGCTAGAGCAGGTTTAGAAAGTAGTGTGAAATTTCAATATCGGTCATGCCTTAGGAGCACATAACGATCATTATCACTGTAAAGACCTTACTTAAATTATTTATATTTGTGGAATTTAGTATGATTCTGACCCAACTTTTTAGGCAACTGTTGACCTAGGCTGGATTAGAAAACTAAATGAATGCAGATTCTCGAAAATTTTCTTCAAAACGGATGAAACTCCTTACCTGGTTCAGTTGTTAGGTTGGGGAGCTGATTATAGATGCTGTGTTGAATATTCCTAGAATTTATAATTGATAACAGCACTCAGCAAAAGACTGGCCAGATAAACCTCCCGTTGTGATGAATTACCTTTTGGAATTATGACTTAGCTTATGTTTCATATTTCAATAATATAATTAACACCAGGGGTTTTGGGGTTTTGGGGTTTTGGGGTTTTGGGGTTTTGGGGTTTTGGGG